GCACGAAGTCCCGTGTTTCCGCTTCCACCACGAGGATCTTAAATTATTTCCTCGTGCAACATACACCGGTCATCAACAATCGCGATAGTTAGATTACAAAATAATATGCTGCCGCACGTTTCGCGGCAAGTCATCGAGCTTCAAGGATCCTCCATGTCGACATTAATAAACGTCGCTACATTCCTGGTCACGACGACGGTACTAATTTTTGCGCTATAAAATTTTGTCCAGTGGTGACGTTCGATGTCGTGACGGCGGACGCAAAAACACAACTGGCACTGTTACTTCGGTCTGCAGTAACATATATCAGCGACTTTACTGCGAAACATCGTTAGCAGTAAAAATGGGTAGGGCCAATTTCATCTATATATCCGGAGATACAATAATCGGAAGACTAATATCATTTGATCGTGATGACTGTTATCGCTAATAATACTATAACTATATACTTTAATATGCGAGTCAAAGTAAACTTTACTAATACATTACGAAATATTACAGAAAGGTTAAGCCCTACGAACAAAGAAATATTAAAAACAGGAATAAATAAGATTAAATGTAAAGTGGATACAAATAAGTTATGATATTTGATATGTCTCATATCCTATTTCTATTCATTGGGTATTATGTTTAATCTTTATTTCTAATTGTTTTATTCCTCTAATATTTAATATTTATTCCTGTTCCTAATGTTCCCTCCATTATGTGCAGAGCGAATAACAGAGAGAGTGCCCAGATATAAATAAATAACAAAATAGAAAAAGTCATTAATTTAAAATCATTCACATTAGCAGTGAAATGGACATAAAATGAGTGGGAAACCCAAATGTCACTTTTCAGTTGCTGAATATGATAAAATAGTGACAAGATAAGATAATAATTGGCGCGATATATGTCAGTTTCTGAAATCAATTAGGCGCCGCTCTCATCAGTTTAATAGAAAGCTTGTAAAGCACACATACAGCGATACCAAGTTAATTTAAGAGAAATATATGATATTTTTAGTGCTCATTTATTTTTTCCAATAACTCAAAGTAAAACATTCTTTCCGCAACATTCATAACGTTCCACGAGCAAAAACGTCTCATTAACCCACTCTCATTAAATATTATTAAACAACTTTTTATGATATTCTAATTTTCTTTTAAATCTATTTCGTTATCTTTTTACAAGCTTTATAAAAAATTATAAAACGAAAATATCTTTCCATAGAAAAGAAATAAATGAAAATTATTCAGGCGATTTAAATTCGCACGCGAGATTTTTTCCTAAATTAAATCTTGAAAAACGAGAATAACGAATCTTGTTTCTCCCTTAAGCGCAAAAGCTGCTTTTAGTAATCGAGTAAAACTCGATTATAAAAACAGCTTTCGCGCTGGCGTATTTTCGATCCACGAATCCTTCCATCATATACACACGGAAAGAATAGTTTCGCTAAAGTATCTAAAAATTTAGCTACAGATAAAAAATAATTTTGTTAGGTCCTGTCCCACTAATGTAAGATTAATCTTGATTTTACTTACTGTTTATCTTTTTTTTAATTTCAATTCTTAATTTTTCTAATTCATAAAATTAGAAAAAAGAGTAGGATTGAACCGAGATTAAAGTTAATCTTACATTGATGGAATTGGGTCTTAGACCATCAAAAAATAATTATTTATGTAGGACACTCAAGCTGGTTGCCAGAATGTTAAATCTTTTGCTCAGCATGCTTGAGCGTTCTACATAGTTATTTTGATAGTCTAACAGAATTATTTTCAAATCTGTATCTTGCTAAATTTTTACACACTTCAGCAAAATCGTTTCTTTCTATGCATTCACGGAGCGGTATATAATAATCCAACAATGACGTTTGTTGCATTTCAACTTGCCGCTTGACCTTCGCGTTGCACTTTGCAATCTCTGATCGATATTTATCTCAGGTCCTCAATTTGTCGACGGCTATAGTCGCAATGCCATTTAGAGCCCTTTTTCCGCTTCGTCGGGTCTCACGAGCGTTTGTTCCTGGAGAATACATTATTATCCCGTGACGCGATCGACTTTGGCCGGGTCGCCAGTCGCGAGCGTCGAGCTGAGAGCGTTCGATACGAGAAATGTGGAAAAAAAGGCCGACGTAGTTTTACGTAGCAAACCCACTCAGGCACATACGGTCGGCGAAGGCACCTAGGACGGCTCTATATATAGAACACGTAGGCCATATATGGCGTACACATATGTCACGTGCCTTCAGTGCGTCCCTTAGTCGATACACGCGCAATCATGTAGAATATGCTCGATGTCAAACCGCTAACGAGTTAATTTCTCTCAAAGCGCGATCTCGTTTGTTCAAAATTTCAGATTCATGAGATTTGAGAATATCCGATACCGTCCAACTAATTGCGAGATATAAATGTTTAATCATGTGTGACGTTAAGTGGACAAACATTTACAGCAATGTTTTTATATTGCATCGCAATGTGATAACTTGATTTTTATTTATATCGTGAATTTTTGAAATTTCAAGATAATATATTTTACTTATTTTCAAACCGATTTAAGGTCAAATTAAACAGTAATCTAATTTGAAGTAAAAAATATTTTAATAATATTTTCATTCTGTACATATATATAAGAAACAATTTTATTTATATTTGGAAACTTGAAAACTTTGTTGAATTTATGAATAGATTGATTTTTGTCGAAACTGAACTAGTAAGTGTCCAAAAAGAACTTTTTAATAACGTGCGGTTTTAATTAATAATAACGATAACGATGAACAATGATCTATATTATAGTTTTCAAATTATGAGTTTGTATTTAACAAATCGATTTTAATGAATGAGACAACGAGTATCGACAAAGAAATTTCAATAATAAGTGCGATGAACCACGATAACAAAGACTTACATATAACTCAGAAAGTGCTCGTGCTGAATTAATTCAAGTAATCTGATCCATCTCCATCTCTCGCGACTAATCGGTTTAATTAAAAACGTTAATTAAAAGCGACGAGGCAATTATAGTCGGACGAGCTCTACGCCTCAAATATATTATTGTATATATTGGGAACAGCGTACACACGATGGATTTTATGCTCGTGCGTGGAAATCGAGAGGCCCGTAAGACTTTTAAATTTTTCATGCCGAGAATGGAGAGGTACCATTAAGTATGCTTGAATTTGATCGTGCATTCAAGGTAAGCGCGATTTCACTGCATTCCGGTAAATGTATCGAAATTATTCGCCGTTGATTTCGCCAGTTAAATTTGCGCCGAGATGATACCGAGGTCAAAATTTATGCGAGTTAACTAGGCGTGCATAATTTTCATTACGTACTTACAACGATGACGGGAACTAATTGAAGCACCAGCAATATGACAACTCCAATTAGCAAGCTGCAGACAGCGCAAACACGCGGTTTCCCGCAGTTATCTGCAACCCCCACATTGCCCCGAGGGTAATGAAAACTTGGACTGTCGAACTTCGAATCTACCGGGAGATACTTTTCGGATAAGCAAGAATCCCTGGATCTAGATCAGGAACTTTTGATGTCTTATAGGTAAATAGATGTATGTGGAAAGTGCTTCAAAAAAAAAAAGAAGAAGAACCGTTTTTCCAAGCGTTTCACGCTCGACGAGTTCTAATTGCCATAAAATCGAGAGAATTAACGGAGTTCTTAAGTCGGGAAGACAATTCCCGAGAGCTCGAACTTCTTCGCGCAAGACCAATAGCTGCGCGAAGACAGCCTTGCTTGACCCCTTCTGCACCGAGCGCTTCCTTCCTGCGAAACTTTTCGTGAGCTTTTAAGAAATTTATTAAACTCCATTTCAAGGGAAGCGCAATTCTATAGTTAATCTTTCTGCAAATCTAGTCTTTAAACAAAACTCTTTACCATCGTGCCATTTACACCGTTGAAACGCTCCCCAACATAACGTTAATTAACGTGCTATTAATTAAATGGCCTATATTGTACGAAACATTTACACAGCCCTTGCACATTTCATTGTAATTTATTCAATTTGCCAAATCAAATTCTTTTTAAATTTTCACTTTTTAGATTAATTCATAATTAAATTTATTTTTCATTAAAATTTTTCTAATTTATTCATTTATCATTTTAAATTTATCAATTAAACTAAAAAGTCTAGCAAAGTTTAAAAAGAAGTGAATTTGATTAAAGTAATTGAAGATTGAATTTATTCTGTTATTAACGTCATCCAACGGTATCCATTATGCGGAAGAAAAAATTTAATTTTAATTAACAAATGCGGCTGTAATTTCTTTCTCTAGATTATCGCGTCCTACAATACGATTATAATGTAAAGGAAAGTTTAGGTGGTGACACGGAACGTCAGTATTACGTATGTAATGCCCGTAATACCCGGCGTGTTCTAGATGTTTTAGCCACCGACATCGATCCCAGGTGTAGTACGGCGTGTTGTAAAAGTATGCGACAGGGCGTCGGCGACAACTGTCATGTCGCGACGCCGCTGTCGCGACATGCTCGCGAGCAAAACGAGCAAATCGTCGCGCGCGCGAGCAATAACAGTCACGATAACACGAGGGTATCGCGGATGATAATTCGGCGGAATCAGAGACAGACGTAATCGCCGAGAGAGCAGCTTATACCACAGATACCGTGCACGAATCCGCGTTGTTGTCGGCGCATAGAAGCATTCCGGTGAATAATTCGAGAGCTCCGGCCTTCGGAAAAGTTACGAAAGTAAAGACTTGTGCAGTTGCGACTTTAGATCGTCTAACGTTAAATGTCGCTGGGTCATCGTCGAGGAATAAAACAGCCCGTGAGATATAACGAGCTTTATTCGACAGAGAAGACTCTGGTTGGTATCATTAACGTTATCCCTTCAACAAAAAACGAAAAAGGTGAATAATTGATGAAAATCGTGAATAATTAAGAACACCGTTCTCTATTTAATCGTGAGATTTAAATGCCCTTTAAAATTCGTCTTGTGAATATATATAATGATTGATATCTATAGTCAATATATAATTAATAAAAAATTAGTGCATCTTCTTTCTGGTCTTTCTAATATATCGGGGAAAATCGGAGACGACACGAGTCGTAAGATTCAAATAATGTTAACGAGGAGTTCTGAAGATTGTCGAAAATCTGTCTGCGAATGCAACAAGCGAATGCATTATTGGAGCAAGCGACTTGACCTGAGAAGAAGTGGATCAGAAGCACGGATGCGTTACGAGTGCTCCACGATTAATACGAATACTCGGCAGATGCCTCGGCATGTCTCGGAAAGCAACGTCTAAAATTCTATTTACCATATGCTAGTGGTATGTAATACGGCAATACATATATATATATATATATATATACAGGAAAGACAGTTTTGAAATAACCAAACATTTAGCTGAATACCTTTAAAATTTGAACCATCAAAATAATTATGTAGAGCGCTCAAACTGGTTGCTAAATGTCAAAATGCTTGCAATATTACTCATCATGCTTGAAATTTCTACATAATTATTTGAACGATCTAACAAAATTATTCTCAGACCTGCGTCTAACTAAATTTTCAGATATTTTAATAAAATTAAAATATCTGAAATAATAAAATCGTTCTTTCTGTGCATGTAACGATCTTTCAGCAATAATTACTATCTTTCCTTATATTTATATTTATTATAATATAAAATTACTTGTACACAAAACGTTTTTCAAGAGAAGGATAACATTCAACAAAGAATGAAAAGAGAATTAAAAGCTGAAAAGTTCTATCGTCACGATTGATGACAGATTCGGTGTACAGATCATCAAAACATTACGATCAATATCAAGAAATTTCGACGACCTTGAGTAATTATAATTCCTTCGAAAGATTTAATCGGCAGATGAATGCATGTCACAATGACAAAACACGGCATAACTGTACCGTGAGAATATCACGCTCCTACATTGCCCAGTTCAGCATAGCTGATGTGAGTCAAGGTTGTCGATTAGCGAACAAGCTCGATTGAAACGTACTTCATATGTATAACATTGACACTTCATGAATTAGAGAGCGAAGAAAATTGAAGAACTTATATTGAAGATATAAATAACTTCTACAGCTATCACCGTTCAACTTAAGCTCAACATCAGCTTAATCTCTGTACGGATAAAAACATTTATGATGCCAATTCAACAATAATGATTGTGCTGTGAGCAATCGAACATCAAACGGTTTTATTAAATAATTAAGTATCAATTACAATTAAGTATTGAAGGTTTTCTTTTCGAAAGGAGTCTTTGAAATAAACTCTTATCATGTGTGCGTATGTGTGTGTGTGTGTGTGTAATACTTCAGATTAAAAATCTGTTAAAGAAACGATCATTCGGAAATATCGTGTGATCGTAACGTTATTTTGAGACGCTACACAGATGGTTAAACCTAAATAAAGTTAACATCGGGTGGTATATAGCGTGACATCGTGACCTCCTGAGATAATCGTGAGCAGGTGGTTGATTAGATTAAATGTGTAGCTGGATAGCCGGCAACTCTAGATTCGAATGAGGCAGAAGATAGGTTGCCATAACACTCGATTAGGTCGATACGTAGGACAATGTAGGACTGATATCAAACGTAATTGAATACTCTTTTAATAAGGCATCAATTAGTTTCGCTTCGGGTAAAAATAGCATGGTCAAATGGAAATTTTCTAGCCGATTAAGTGAATATCGAAAATTAATGTGACAATAAGTAATTGTCGTCATGATTTTATAAAACAGATTTTATGATATATAATTAAAAATTATAACTCTAATATATATCATTAAATAGCTTTTTAAAAAATTAAACAATTGCTAAGAAAATTATGAAAATAAAAATATGCAATACTGTCGTATAATATCAATATTATTTATTTGCGAACTATTCATAATAAAATAAAATAAAAATCTGTTAATAAAATATATTTTACGTTCATTAAATTTTTGCATTACGAATTAGTGTATACATACAGAAATAAAATCTCACGAGGCAGTTAAATAATACACATCCTGCTCAAGAGATTATTCATATGACTTTATGTTATACACTTACCTGCAATTCAGGCAGTCCCGCAAACTTCCTCATCTAACGTCCTTCATTTGCGCAAATCTGCAACAAGCGACATACGTTCCTATTATAGTCTCGGAAGGCAAAGTTTTCGAACAGCAACCCAATTTCTTGAGTATACATATTCATGCTGTTTCATATACATTTTCAGTGTCAATTTAGACGTGGTCAAAAATTGCTTAAATTTAACGTCAGTTATAAATGATTCTGCAAGTTACATCGCTCATTCATACCTTGCAACGGCTAAAGGCATAAGTTTAATAACCGTTATCGATTAATCTGTCGTATGAAGGGACGCACGATGTCATCATGAAACAGTATAGGCTGTCCTCATTATGGACTAAAACGAACTACGTCGAAGCGAATTGGGTTTTATATATTTTCTCTCTAATAAACTGATTTCAATTACGCAATTAATAACATAATAACTTAATAACTTAATAACTTAATAACTTAATAACTTAATAACCTTAATAACTTAGCTTAATAACTTAATAACATGATTAAACAAAAAAATTTTTAATTAATACTAGATAAAGATGATAAATTTTTAATGTTTGTTGTAATTTTTTAAATTTGTTTTTCAATGCATTAGAATTTGAAATTATATTTATTCAAAGTATTAATCTATTACATTATGATATGCATATCTAATATATTATAATTTATTTAATATCAAGTTATTGAATAATTATTATATCAATTGCATAATCGAAATTAATAAGAACGTATAAAGTCCAATTCGTTTCTTACGTTTTATTTAGCGTTATTATATACCTATATATGTATATTTATTTTGTGGCACGAAATATTTCAAACATTTATTACATTAATTCCAAACTAGCTCAAACAAAAAGTAATGCGAAGTATAACGGAAGTTATCTCTGGCAAACTACTTTAATAAAAGATTAAATAAGCGACTTATAATCTTTATGTAATATCCTTAATAAAAGTTAATCCAGTGCACAAAATCACAATTGAACTTTATTAAGAGATACTGGCGAGACGGTAAATCTTTTCACGCAAGTTTACTTCGTGCATTACCACGTTCAGTAGCAACTTCATTAACGCGCTAAGCAAAAACGCGGATACTGCTAGGAACAAAAAAACGAAAAAAAAAGGAAGAATGTATCGGGGTAACACGGGACGGAGAAACGGTTACAAGTTTTCCAGCCACCCTCATGCAGTTTTGCATCTCTCAAGCACATAAGAAAAAAAAAACGCGGAAAGTTTGCTCGTTGTGTCCGAAGGGAAAAAAAACAGAATCGACGCGTTTATCGACTTTTACAGCGGTTTCACGCTTTACAACGGTAGACGCCAGGAATCAGCAGTTTTAAAGTTCACGTTACAATGTTGGCAAATCGATATTCAGCAAGCTTCGAAGCGAGCACCTCGAGAACTTGTTACCAATATTACATCCACGATAATGCATAAAAAAATTAAAATACTAATATTTAAAATAATATTAAAAATAATAATATTTAAAATAATATTAAAAATATTAATATTTAAATTGTAACAAAATAATTATAGAATAACAATTCTAAACGCGTACTCGAAGAATTTCTTTCTTTGAGGATCTTGGATAAGATTTAAAACTTTCTTCTCATCGACCAACATTGCGTGCGCATGCTCACATAAAATATCGACTCTTAACCGCGGTCTAATAAATTAACACCAAGTAGATTATCCTTGAAATTAACTATCGTACTGGGTGGTTCAAAATTGGTATTGATCGCTGCCTCGAGAGTGGAAAGGGGTTGCCAGGAATATTCTCCTTGGAATATTCCAGCAATATTTACTTTTTCAGTCATCGCTGTGAAATAAGCAAATATAAACAGTACCGACAGGAAGTCGCATCGGTATTATTTATGTTATTTCATCAATTTCGAAATACGTATATTTCCATCAGACAGGAACAATTTCGCATGTGCCAGCGTTCCCTCAAATTTACGTTAGTTTATTCAACGAGTTGAAAATCCTATAAGTAAACACTTAATGTTCCCGCTGAGAAAATGATAGATCGTGTTAAAGTTGATAACTCAATTAGTAACTAAAAGTACCAAGCGACTCGTATTAGGCTTTACAGCCTCAGCGGAACCAGACAAATTGTAATAAATTATTTTCTCAGCCCATAAATGTCACAAAGTAAAGAAAGATAAATCATTTCGATATTTAATTTTAAAAAATATATGCAATATCCTAGATATATCGAAAGATATATTGTAGATCCCTGCAGGAAATGCAACGCTGATCGTGGAATAAAAAAAAACAATTCACAATTAGATATCGTTTGTTTGCAGATCGCGCGATCAGGCAACAGCACGAAACAAGTTTTGACGGCTATCGGTCGACCTGCTGGAGTAACAATGACACGCGCGTCTCACGCGCGAGCAAACCCGCCGACGGGTATCCGTGAAGCCGAGCAGTCGGTCGGACGGGAGCCCCGGCTCTACGTGAGTATTGTACAATGAGAAATTCAATTTGAAGCGTTGGAATTCCGCGCGAACCGCGTCGCGACGTGAGCGCGACTCGACTTCGTAAAAAGGCGTCTCGCACGAAATCACACTGTCGGCGGCGACGCTGCGTGATCTGCGGGATTTTATCAGCGGTAACGGAAGCGCAATGCGAAAGTGTCTCCGTTTAACGGTTGAAGCGCACCGCTAGACAGACAACAATACGAGTCAACAATACAGTTACGGTCTATCGACGTCGCCTCGAGTCGAATTTAAATTTACTACTTTTTTTTCTGCTAATTAAATATCAGTACCTGCTCCTGTCACGTTCAATTGTGATACTGCCATAAAAAAAAAATATAATAAGCTTTTGTCTCTCCATATTGTTAAATATTAAAGTAACAGTAATAATCTGATCCCTGGAATTAAATAACATTTTGTTATTTTTAAATAAATCAATTTTTTCATTTCTGTAGAATTTAGTTCATATGAACGTATGTACTTAGTAAATAATAAATAAAAATTAAGTTAAATTTAATGAATTTTCTTGAGTTAAATTGTTTAATAGGAGCGGTGACGATTGGAATGCTATATAATTTGACATTATCAATTTTAACACCGTATATTCACTTAAGATGGACAAACGACAATGTACACAAGACACACTCGTAAAAAATGGTCTAATCTTCAAGATTGTAAGAAGAGTTATGCGCTGTCATGAAGTACACTTTCTTATTGCGAAACCTCTCTACGAACATATCTCCGTAGAACAGCGCAACACCAATAAACCACACTTTTTTCGGAGTTTTCGGACAAAGAGGATTAATCTAAATTTTATGTCCCCAAGTATAAAATTGATTTTCTCTCTTTTTAAGAGAGTGGATTAGAAGACCAATTTCATTTTTATCTATATATACTTATTTTATATATATATATATATATATATATAAAATAAATATTAAGAGCAAATCAACACTTGTTATTAGCATTATATTCGTAATAATAAATATGTTAATATTTAAATTATACCATAAAACAATAGTATAACAATTCGAATACTCATTTAGAGAATCTAAATGAGAAAATAAAATATAACAAATTCAAATGACAAATATTCGTTTAAAGAATCTCTTCAATGTATTATATCACAAATAAAAAATTATGATATAAGCATGGAACGACACAAAAATTGAAGATGAATATCCTGTTGATTTCATAAAAATAATGTTTCCAGATCTGAGGTACGATTCGGCTACGAGGATCCCCCCGAGCGATCTAACCGATCGTAATGCACAGTCGATCGTGCTCGGGGGGAGAGGAGAGAGGCGTGTATCCGCTAGGTTTTTCCGATGAAAGGCGTTTCCGGAAACGGTAGATTCCTTTTCGAGACAATCAACGATCTCGGAGCAACACGGATGATTGAAATTCTCTCGATCTTCGTGAATGATAACGAGTGATTAGTAGTAAGACGTACGACACGTTATTATATCATCAATAACTCGATCTACGAGACACAATCGGTGAGCCTATTAACGAGGCGATCGAGAGATAACTACAACTTTATAGTCCTCTAGAGAAAAGTAAAAATAATTAATCTTAGCGACGCTAATTAGTCGCATTCCAATTCTATTAAATCAAGAGAGACACGATTGAGATCGACATCGACGGGCGAAAAGACGAGAACAAGATAATGCAGAAGATAGCGGTGATGGCCGCGGTGCAAAAGGCCCACGGCTATCATAACGGCAGCAACGCTTACGGGGATGCAAGTAACGCCCCACCGGAGTATAACGGCTCCTCGTCAACCAGCAAAAGCGGTCGCTTCGACGCGGATCTGCACGGCAATGTTAACATCCTTCTTGGTGGGTGAGTAACAACCGCGCCAGCTGGACAGATGCTCCGACAGCACAGCTCACAAAATATAGGAAGATATCTCACAGCAAACACACCTAATCCTGAGCTCTTTGAGAAGACGCATCGTCATCCCTCGCGCACATGCTTTACTCCCTTAATCCTCCAACAGATTGTAGTTCGTACATCAAACAGACCGTTGCATGTACAAGACACAACAAAAATACTCAATTACTTAGATAGTCGATGGTTGAAAATTCAATGGTTGTTCCGCGGAGCAACGTGGAAGATTCAACCTATAAATTAAAATTGGCTTATTGGAAAATTTGACAGTTGTGAAGAAAGATAACGTTGCTCGCTTGAAATTTGAAATTTTTCCTCTTTACAAAGATAATTTTCATAAAAATATTTAATTTAACAAATATCATAGTAAAATTTATATTTCATATATAAATAAGATAAAAATTTATAAAACATTATATTCATGGAGTTTGATATAATAATGTCGCAAAGTAGAATTAAATTAGAAAGTCGAAGGTTTTTATTGCAGATATAGAAGTATAGAAAACTTCAAATCATCATTGTTAAATCCGTGGGTAATGAATTTTTATCTTAAGTCGCTTTATTAGCAATTTAAGATAAGAAGATTTATGATGAATAAATGCTAATTAAACGATTGTTGCAATTACACTACTAACGATGCGTTATGCCGCATGCATATCGCCGATAAGACTTGTTTTTGTAAATCACCAGCTGTGCAGTAAAATTCTTTGAGCAAACGAAGAAAGACGTTATCTTTCGAGTTAATACCTGTCAAAATATATCTAAGGTTACGTCTATATTTTTTTCAAGGTGCGATTTTTTGTTGTATCGCCATAAAAGTTCGAAAATACAGCAGGTGTTAAAAGTGACTGTTTTGTATTTCATCGCGTTTAAAAATTTCTGCTCCCTCCGGAGAGAAAATCGCACGTTCACTTTTCCACCCAATCTTTATAGCAGCCACGCTTTTTTCTTCAACCGCATGGGCACCTCCTAGCACAAAAAGCACCGTCTAAACATCGTCTATATTGGTTCGCTTTTAGCGCCATGATCAGCGGTGTGATCATGATGGTGGTGCTCATATGCTATTGCTGTCACAAAAACGTCCGGAAGCATCGACCGCAAGAATACTCGCAGTACTGGAGAGCCGAACCGGACATTCATAGTCTAGAAGTCTTCACCATGGATACACACGTTAGTAAAAATTTTCACTCAAAAAATCATTCTAATCATTAGATATCACGAGAATTATCTCCATTAAATGCTCTATTTTTCACATGACGAATAATTTCTTATTTAAATAATCATAAAATACTTGTTAATTTTCTATAAATTGACCTTTCTATATATTGTAACATCTGTATAAAATCATTGTTAAATGGAATCATTAAAATTGTATAAGAAAATTATTTTGAATATATTATAAATGTATAATATATATATTTAAAAAAATTAAAATTTATTTTAATCATCAGCTGAGACGTGGAATTAAAAAAAATTCTATTATTAAAATAAAATGTATAGGTATATATACAAAATTTCAGTTAAGTTTTAATCTTATTTAATAACATAATTTTAAAATTTTGACATCCGTTGGCGATTAAAATAAATTTTTAATTTAATTATATAAATTTTCGAGCTAAAATTTAAGAGAGACATGATGATTTGTTACCCGTTTATGACATTTGAATCACGAGTAATCTTTTATTTTTAATATTAAAAATCTCTATAATAAGATTTCACTACCCCAAATTTTCCAATATATTCCAAATTTCCAGCAATTCTTCCAACAATATTTTTCACAGAATTTAAGATATCCTGCATAATGTTACATAAAACTCTTAAATCACACCACCTACTCGATGCAATGTGCGCACCGCGAGTAGCTTATATCCACCTGCCGACCTTTTACGCAACCTTTCCCTCACCTTTGTAGCTACGCCCGCAATTAAATAAAAATTCGCATATCTCGCGGAAACCACGCCCTCGCGTTACACGTAAAGGAACGAGCGCGAGAACATCGGCTGGAATTGTACGCCGCAATGCGACAACGTGCATACTTCACACTTTCAGACCTAGAAACTCGTATTGCGTCGTGCCTCGAACAGACACGACGTAATATAAAAATATAAAAAGAACGAGATATATAAAGAGCAATATTATTAATACATAATAAGACATAAATAAAAAGAATGTTTTGTACAAAGAATTAACGATGTATATCTGTCGTAATTAAGATATGAAAAAGACAGATATAAAAGGCATGAAAGATAAAAGTATATTTATACTTAATTCTATTTTTTCTATACAGCTAAACTATTGTACACTTTTAGAACTTAAAGTGAAATAAAATAGGTATACTTTTGACATTTGGCGAAAGCACAAGAAAGTTCTAATGCAGTTTAATACAGGAATAAAAAATAGACTTCTTGTCAAGTTGACAGGTTATTCATTTTGAATTTTTATATTCGTCTCTCGTTCCTAATATGTATTTTTTATCCCAGTATTTCACTGTTATATTTTTAACAATTCCGTTTCTCTCCAACAGTGCATCGAGAGATCGGTAACCTCTCAGACCCATCAGGAAGAGGGAATGACCGTGTCTCTTCCGCCGTGTTCTATGACCTCAGGCCCGCCACCGGCCTACGAGAGCCTCATCTTCGACCCTCGGGCACTGCCCTCGCCGACCGACAAGAAGGACGAGTCTGACGATCCAGGCAATATTATCTCACCCCCGATAAGCAGCTTGCCCACCGAGTCGGAGGCCAACAGGATCAACAAACGGGAGGATATCCCGAGGGACGATCAGGGTTTACCTTCCTACGAAGCCGCCCTAAAATTAGAAGCTGACGGCTACGTTTAAGAAACGAATAAGGGAATTCGCCGGAACTACTTCGATCGCGGATCTCCAACCGTGAAAATTTCCAGAGCTCTTAGATAAAACGCCAAGTCATGGATATCAAAGAAAAATTCCATAATCGACAAGGTGACTCAGTCGGCTGTACGCGGTCGGCTGAAATTAAGTCTCGCGAAAGCATCTGTGAGAGAATGGCGCAAGGAACTGAGATTGATTTTTAATCGAGGAAATGGAAGAAGAAAGAAGAGATAGATGACTGAGCAAATTTTCCATGTAGATTTGTGAATCAAAGACAAGTTGCGAAAGAAATTTCAAGCGCAATTTTTAGAAAGGAACTATTTTCATCTGCGTGTGAATTAAAACGCACGAAAGTACAGAATAATTTTAATCAAAGAGATGTAAAAAAAGGGAGAAAAAAGTTTTAAATAAGATTTTTTAGAGTTAATGAAAAAAAAAGACACTGGGCGTTATATCAAAAATATTCTAAAAATTTTGGAACATTATTCTCCTCTTGCCTTATTGAATGATTCTAATTCTTAACGATAGAATGGTAGAATAGAGAAAAACCATAAAGATAAAGTGCCTGAACATACATTCTTTTTCGAAACGTGTGTAAACGGAGGGCAAGATGAAAGAAAAGCGACGAAGTAATTTTTCGAAAGTACGTACTGCTTTTCTTTCTGTCTTGTCTAAGTAAAACAACACATAAAATCTTTGAGAGCGGCTTTTCATCTACAAGATGTAATATGAAAATTTTCAGAAGATGTAATACCTCGACTTTTCTATTTTTCGATAATCTCTATGATTAAATGTGTCGATAATATTTTAAATATAGGAGAAAACGCGTCGTAGAAATGTACAGATATACAAGATATCGATTTATAGAATGCGAAATATATATAGAATGCGCCGAAATGTAGCACAAGTTAATGTCAGTATACATGAAAACGGTACGTTTGTAAGTCGCGGCCTCAGGCAATGAACAGAAAGACCTAATTTTGCAGATAATTAGATTTTATAGATGTTAAGAAGGAGAATACTTAACGGCATATTTTTCCCGGTCGGTCATTAGTTTAAGAGAGCAAAAGCGGACATAGAAACGCAGCACCGTTAGATTACAGTTTCCGTTTGAATAAACAATGCGCATCGCTATAACGTAAATGATACTTCGTGTAATGCGCGCACGACATCGCGGAATTTATGCGGTGTTTCGCTAGGAAAACGCTTCGAAACATACCATTTTACGTAGAACTTTTCTCTGTATGATAGATGAATATGTAAATAAATAGCTGTGCATTCAATATGCATTTTTAGGCGTGCACCGGCAACAGCCGCAATGATGATTTATTATTACGTCGACCGTATGAATATTAAGTAGTAAGTATTATCGATGAAACTGTGCCTGACACGAACGAGTTACATTCGAGAGAACGTAAGATTTTGCGCTTTATATAAACACGCGCATAACAATTTTTTTAATTTCCGCTAATTACAATCGCATAATAATTAATATTATTGCATCATAAAGAAGCACAGATATTTTTAAATACAATTGTATAAAATTACATATAATGATCCCTACGTTTGATTATAAATACGTTCGCTATCGCATGCATTTATGGTCGAATTGCCATACTTTGTTGGACTTATACGCGAACACTTAATTACAACGGTAATAACAATTAGTCGCAACAAGAGATCCTCGAGAAAAAACGATAACCTTGATATCGAAACGAAATATGTTTGCTCGAAAGAGCATCTTATCAAGCGAACGTTTTATCGAGCCGGTTTTAAAACCTGCGATAAAATGTAATATAGCTTTCGCCAAGAGCTGTGGATATATTTTAAGAAGCAACATTTATTTATTTTATATTGTAAAAGTCTTAATTGAGTAGACGAATGATCCATTAGCGTTCGCTATTACTTCTAAAGTTTTCTTTTAGTATCAGCATTATTATATACCTATTTATGTACAGCTAAAGATACAGCCTAGAGAGGACCGACTAAATGATGTTAGTTGTAACTTTTCAACGTAATCCTAAAGTAATTATATTTAACGAAATGTATACGATAATATTGTACGAGAAATAAGATCTCTCGGTAAATTCATTATCCATAATTTCAATTATCAGAATTAATTCAAGAGCTACCTTGATATTCTTGTTAAAAAGATACTCAAAGTACTCAAAATAATAAAATAATAATCGTCATTAAAATGTTATTAATATTTATTACCAGGAAGTGTGAATTATCCTGTAGTTTAGTTCTATATGCCATCTCGATCGTGGAGGTTAACTGATATATACGATGAAATCGTGACAAAACAAAATATACCGTATGCAGTATCCGTTGATAAAACACCGCGATAGGTAGTTGCGGCGAAGCGTCGTAAACTCTAATTCAACGATGACTGCGATGCATCGATGACGATAAATCTAAAAGCGTGGTTACGTGCACGCTATTGCATGGTCGGTGTGATTCATTAAGCGTGCATGTATAGAAAAATATACTGGAAGAACTGGCAAACCGAAATGCTAAACGTTCGTAAAATAAAAAAAAATAGTATCTCGCATATATCTAAAAGCCCGACGTTATTTCTTAATAATTTAATAATTTACAAATAGCTCAAAAAGATATAAACTTTTTTTCTCTTCAATTAAATAATCTACAAATATTTATAAGCAAGAATAAAATAAAAATGTTAAAATAGCAATAATTTATCGGTTTAATTTAAAGCAAAATATATATCTTTACTATAATCAACTTTAAGTACTCTCTAACAGTTAATGACTAAAAAATATAAATCGTAAAGATAATTACGATTGGAAAAGAACACGGTACAACCGAGTACAATATGAAGAATATAATAGCAAATTGCTGGTCTGGTATCTTTGAAAATCAAGGACGAAGAACGGCGACGACGACATAAAATCATGTACCATGACGCGAATGAGAAGTGCAAATTACACGATCTACGCGTGCGATCGTTTTGCAAATTTTCTGCAAAATAATTAAGCTTCTCGTTAACAATATCCGACTCGAAATCGATATTACGTTGCAGTTTAGGATCGCACATAATTAGCACCCTCGTCATGCGGCCTTCGCGAGGAATTGAGCCAAACAGAAAATAATTTCCGCTCTGCGGCCTGATTGCGGACCCCGCGGCGGAATCCGAGATTCCCGTAACGAGTTCGTATGGAAATTTCAAATTGCCAACGATACCTACGTACGACACGTACGTACCGCGCATGGTATGCGTATCATCCGGATGTGCCGTAATTAGATTAGATTTACGCAGAATAACTCGCGTGTTTACATTTCCCACCGGTGTAACGCAGAACTGTGCCACTCGCCCTGTTATCAATTTAGTCATACGACAGCGTAGACAGCATTTCTACAGATAAACCGGTACGTATCACGTATAATCCTCTTTTATATTGCATAACGCTGTTACGATATAGCCGAAAGAAAGCTAGATGCGTAATGTGTGTGTGTGTAATAAGTTAACATTATTTCACTAAAAATGTATTTTAAAAACTGAAAAAAGGGAGGCACTGAGTTTGCATAAAAACGTTCACAAATAATTGGATAACTATATTAGAAAATTAGGCGACAATATAAACTAGATTAAAAGTTCCTCTATAAGATGCATATTAATGCAAACTCATAAAGCTCACCGTGAAGTTTCGAGCAATCTCGGGAACTTTGAAATTCCCTCAAAATTTTTGCAAGTTTAATTATTGGGAACAAAATTTGGAATCTTTTTAGTGTTAGTGAGTTTAGCTAATGAAAACTATATCGAGGCGAAGATGAGTACGAGAGAGAAACAGTTCTAGGTATGATTTTCTTGGATGGAACAGTTACAGAGTTCTGCTCCCTGGAGCTTCATAAAATACGCTATCGGGAAATCTTCCGGTGTGGCTCCTCATTAAGTTTCAATCGGCCATTAAATGTATCGGTACTGCATGATCTACGTGTATGTACGCATGCATTATTCAGTGACCGCCCTAGCAGGAGTAGCATAACTCGTTTCATCCCGTACATAATTAACGAACGTACTGACCCGCGGAACTTTCAGGTCCGCAGAAAGAATCGCGGTCAACGTAAAATGATAATCGATGGATGGGATGAACGCTGATCGAATCCTAACAACGCGAGTCATTCTTAATTAAAGCGACCTTTATTTCAGCTCTATAAAGCTAGCAGGACCAAATCAGCAGAATCAAATCAGACCTATCGAAATTTTTTGTACTCATTTTGTATACTAAATTGTACCATTAATAATAATTTTGTACCGTGTGCCATTTCGAAAAAAATCGTGGCGCTGCTGGCTTAATATTAAGCTAGCAGGACCAATTCCAAACAAAAGATAAAAAGAAAAATAATATCAGAAATCAATACGATTGAATTTGTACTATTTTGTACTGCCAAAAACAATTCTATATTATGTCATTTTCAAGAAAACAATGACGTTGATAATATTTAAGCTGGCAGGACCATAAAAAAAAAACAAAATGAGGGAAAAAATTAATACAACTGAATTTGTATACTAATTTGTACCATTGAAAGTAAGTTAATATTTTACATGTTTTTTTTTCTCCTTAAAATGACTTTATTAGTATATACTTACAATCTATTCTACTTCAAATCGTGCACCTTTGTAACATTACTTTTTTTTATTTGCTAACATATTCTACAGATAATAATAAGACACGTGTTTCGTGAGAAAAATGTGAGATTTTTTTGAAAAGTTATTGGCGCTTGTAAGTTGCGTAAATTTATAAAAAACATCGTTCATGGAACATTCAAATTATTATATCGTCGAAATAATTAGTCGTACAAAAAAAATGTAAGATTTTCCGAGATTAAAAGTCCGATTTTAAAGATCTTAAATTGATCTATGGTTGGATTTTATTTTTAATTTATTATTTTCATATAAATAAATCATTTTCAATTTGTTTACAATTTTTATGAACATTTTTCGTCATGAACTCATCAATTACAAAATTTTGTAAAAATATCATATTCTCATTTTAGTTATGAAGTAACCCTGAAAATTTCAAAATAGAACTCGAATGGACTGTATAGTTAAAAAATTTAAGTTCTATTTTGAAATTATCAGGGTTACTTGCTGATAAACAGAACTGCCTTTTAATAGCGAAATACCCGAAAGTTACGATCAAAATTAAAATACAACGAATTTTTAATTTAATAAAAATAATTATGTATCTTATACGTACTATGCTTATGTGAGACATGACAATATTTGACAAAAATGCCCAAATGTACAAACATCATTATTAACTCATTGATTTTTACACTTGCTAGTAAGTCTTATTAAATTTGATAGCTATCAAAAGAATTGAATGATACAACAAAAAATCCCAAATAACATAAATATTAATAA